AATTATAAGTGTGTGTTTTGTGTGCCCAAGGTAACATATAGTCTTGCATATGGTCTTGCTCAATATGGCGCCTATTGCTGCAGAAAAATGATATCTTAGCAAGTAACAAAAATATCAAGATTTATAAATATATATTTCAAGATTTATAAATATATATTTACAGATTACAGATACTAGTTTTCCCCATTTCACCCTGAACTGAATGACATCAGAACCAGACGACAGGAGACAAGGTTTGTGTCTTGGGGTTATTGTTTGGGTGATCACAAAGCCACTGCCTTTCCTGCCTTGAAAAGCAGCAGTGTTCTTTTGGCCCTAGCAGTAGGAAACAGTGCCAAGAAGAGAGGATGCGACTCTTCCGAGAATCCACTCTCATGTGGATCGGATGGCATCAACAGCGCAGCATAGAGTCTGTGCCCAAATCAACTCATTACAGAACGCCTCTTCTCCAAGCAGAGCCAGCCACACACCCGCTGTGTCTCATTTATTTGCTCAGGTACAGTGCTGGCAGAGAGTTGCTTTGTTTGTTGTAGGCAATGAGGCCTGAAAATGAGTGTAAATGTATTGAAATTCAACATTTCTTTCCTGTGGTGTCTCTAGATTTAATGAATTCATTACCTCGTGAGCACAAAGAATAATTAACCTCACAGTAAAGTAGGGGAGAAAAAGGAAAGCCCCAAGATGGTGAGGTGTTTTTGTGTGTGTGTGTGTGTGGGTGTGTGTAGGGGGGGGGACTACTGCTGATAAATTCATCTTCTAATTAGTCGCATCACAGCTTTTATTACTTCCATTACTTTTCATCTCTCCACACAGTGGATTGAATTGTTTAGAATGTCTTTGTGTTTCGAATGTTAGTGCCTTTTGTGTGTGTTACATTATAAACCGCACCAATTATTTCTACTATTGTGATCTATCTATTCTTTACACAACACAGGACTAAAGATGTTAGTTATTGTTCACTTAGACTATACAGTACATGCATACACAGGTCATAAAAATTCAATAATCTGTGAGACCAGTGAGTAAGAATGCTCATGGCTACATGTTCAGGCTAAGAATTTGGATGTCAGGCTGTAGGCAGGGCAGATTTAGTGTACTTGTTCCTCACTGCCTTTTCTTACCTACTCTGTCTTTAAAGAACTTCCAAGAAACAGCCAGACTAGAGCCAAATGGAAGGTGCTTCTCACTAGTGCAGGCTTGCTTTAGTGATCAGTGTGCATAGGTATGTTAGCATGCACATGCATGAGTGTGTGCAAGTGTGCTTTTGTGTACAGACACTATTTGTGTTCTTATGTTCTCATGTTAGAAGAGAACGTTTAAATGAAACGTGATATAAATACAGGTTTGATAATGCAGTGATGTAAACATTCATGTTTCATTTCACTCTCATCCAGCCAGAGCAAAGTGCGCAGATGAACAGAGCATAACAGAGATGGAGGTAGCTGATGCGTAGGATTTGCACACGTAGGCAGAGCATTTGAAGCCATCTAGCTGTCATGTTATCTCCAGAACAATCTGGAACTTGCCGGCAAAACTGGAGATAGTTCACACGAAGATGGTGATATGCTTGCACTCTTCCAGGGTTCAAAGAATGTACAGAGGGGTCAGTGAGGTTAAGAATCAACACTGTGCTATGATGTTTACCATTATATGTACTATATTGTTTGTTTGTTTGTTTTTTGGGGTCTACCCAGGAAATACGGCAGTACGCAGACATTTTAAAATAGCTTTAAAATGATCTGCGCCCCACACTTACATATATCAAAACAACCCTATAGAATTTAGTACACAAAAAAATAGTTTGTGTACTTGGACAGTAACAGGTACTTACTGAGTACTAAGAAGGGAATAAAGCATGAAGTGGCATGCTATTACAGCAAAATAATCAAAATTGGGGTGGTGTGATATGGCCCAACGCGGAGCAGAGAGCAGTTACCAGGAAGTTGATTATCTTCCTATAACATTACTTCCTAAAGTTTTGCATTCTTCTTATAGCACAAGAATTTCCCAACACTAACAATAATTGTTTTGTCCATTTTTATTTACATTTAATGTTGTCAAACGTCCACAAAATGAGTTAGTTCCCTTTATCATTTACATTGTAGCAGTCATTCTGTAAATACCAGATTCACTTACATTATAAACAGTCATTCCCTTACCAGCTGTTTTACTATCTTTTGAAGTTTTTAAGGCATAAAAATGCAGCTTGCCACGTTACCAAGAACCTGCAGGCTTTCCTGTATCTGAAAACTTACATTTACAGCTTTTCCTCTAACTGTTACAAAGCACTGATACTGGGAACACCATCTAAAACTGCTAAATAAACATCTCCTTTAATTCAAAACTTCACTATATCAAACATTTCATGTGTTTTTTGACCAATCAGAATAGAGAAGTCAACAGTCCTGTGGTATAATGCATTTTAACAATCAGATCCATTATGAGGTGAAATGGCCTATGATGGGAAATAAAACTGGCATTTTCTGTCACCCACTGTGCCAAAGTGTGTATGCACTAATCAAACTGACCACAAAGTGAAATAAAAATTCAGGCTTTAATAGGGATATCTGTGTTTTTATTTCTCATTTGAAGATACTGTATGTAAGCGTAATGAGGGGCGCTTAATGAACCAAAAACAATGTCAAATTCCAACTTGCCACACCCAAAGTGTTCTAGTGAAGTGCCATAGTCTTCTTATCTTTTAGACAAACAACTCAGTCAAAAGCAGACATCTCTTCTCTGTTTCACGTGAAAATTTTAACGTATCACCTATCTTAGAACAGTACAATGGATGATTGTATCTCATTCCATTCCTGAACTCCTGTTCCCAGCCATACAGATTGTGAGGTGAAGTTATCTTTCAGGAGGATAGTGATGAAAACAACTGCTCTACTGACAGCATTTTGCACTAGCATATGTGTTCAAACTCCTCCGACCCACCCAGTGCACCAGCCGAATTACGTTCCTAAGCCATTAAATGGGTTCAGTCATCCCTCTGCACATGTTGTTTTTTAGCACTGATCATGATACTGTGTCAACATGTAAAGCTCCTCTAGCCTGAAGCACAGGAGTGTGCTGCTGTCTGGCCTAGCCAGGTAATTACTTCACGTGTGTGCGAGTGCTCGACTGCTTGTCTGGTTCTCTGCTATTCCTGGCACGAGCAGAGGTGTTAGGCTTCTTGCTCTGTCATCCAGAATGCCCCCCAGGGCTCTGGAAAGATTGCCTTGAACTATGTGTTTGCTTGCAGCAAAGCGTTCTTTGCACTGTCTCCAGGCTTTTGGCTTTTGCATGCTCTACTGATAAAGGGTGTTGACTGTCTACAACCCACTCACCTGATCCATCTGTCAGTCTTCATACGCACATGGTGTATGGTCGTGCACCATTGGGTCTAAATTAAATTCCTTTCAGCACTTATCAATACTGTGGTGCTAATTATTTAACATGTTAGTCTGTTTATTTTTAAAGGCAGGTGCTTCATAGGCTTGTATGGAGCCTGTTCCTATTTTCCTTGCTGATTCCTTTTTATTTATTTATGCACCACAATATGATGTGATTCCAATCAAATCCACACGCTTGCCTCTAAAACTAATTTTGCATCCTGTAGAATATACAGGATTGTACAGCAACTTTGACTATTATAATATATGCTGTAACAAAAAAAACAACAAAATGTCTGCCGAATACTCGACTTCAGTATATACTCAGAGATTAGGTGGACTTGATCAGCGCTGTACTTCGGCCCATATACAAACTTGGTAACTAGGAGTTTCCTGGCAACATGGGAAGTAAACAGAGTGTAGGACGAGCCTCTGCATGACCCACACATGAGGACAGCGAGGAAAGTGGGCACAGAAAAGCCCTATTATTAGACAGATCCCCTGAGACATGGGATTGGAAGTGGCAGTTAAGGAGCTGCGCTTTCAAGCTGCTGAGCATTCTCTGTTGACTCATTTCCTACATAAGTGATGTGCACACCTCCAAAGCACACAGATTCGCCTGAACACAATGTTTGGGGTGCGGTGGATTGTTTTAATAGTTATAATATTTCTGCATCAGAAATATTTCTTCTGCACCTACTTATTTATTTTGGTGACAAAAGGGATCAATTTGATGTATTTTCTTAAGAAGGTCTTAGGTCTTCCTCAGAAAATGGGCGTAGCTCTAACACACACTGTCGTTAACACACATTATTCCAGCTCTGGACACTCGTGTTTTGTGAATGTTCGTGAGAAGGGTGTGCTGTGTCACTGTTGACGGGTGTGTGATTTGGTGTGTGTGTGTGTGTGTGTTTCGATGCATGTGTGAGAGAACACTGAAAGAGGGAAATAAAAAAAAATGAGGAAGAGAAAGAGGTGGGGAGTGAGGGTGCTCACAGCTGTTGTTCTGCTGTGCTTCCTCTGATAGGGTACTTGGCGGTACTCCCAGTTCTTTAGGTAAACTGTAGAAAACATTAATTGAAAGGGGAAACAAATGTACATTGGAAGCATTTTATTAATAAAAAGTATATCATTACTTTCAAGACATGCAGTGATCTTGCATTTTGTGGGGTTGGCCCCTTTTTTGTGTAGTATAAAGTTTTTTCTTATCAATAAAACACTTAGCTTTGGTTTTCTGAATCTTACTCCTAGATTTTGACTGCGATTCAATTGTTTTATCTCTTCATACACATATTTTACAGATTCTGGACACTAAAGCACTTGCATTAAATTTATCCTATATCCTATAACATGACTGAATGTGAAAAACAGTTATTATTTTATAATAATAATTAAAATATTTTTTTTTTATTATTATATTATGGGACAAAGCTGGTTAATATTTAGAAAACTAGAGCCACTGAACTATAGTCAGTTTTTTTCTCTTATATTTATTAGTTCTGCTACAATATTTGTTTCAAGAACTCGGCTGAAACACCCTGCTGGGTGTGCATCCGGACCACAGTTGGCCAGTTGACGACCACTGCTATTATGTTCATGTACACATGTACTCTATGTTATGGGTCCCTGGAGGACGAGTGGTTAGGCCTTGGCATTCTCACCGCCACAGCCTGGGTTCGATTCCTGGCCAGGAAACACAACATTGCACTTCCAGTGCCGGTCCCAAGCCCAGATAAAAATGGGGAGGTTGTGTCAGCATGGGTGGCCAGCATAAAAACTGTGCCAAATCAAACATGCAGACCAATGATCTGCTGTGGCGACCCCTGATGGGAGCAGCTGGAAGAACAACAACAACACATGAAATCTATGTTGATCCCCTATTAAAGTCATCACTCGTCACATGAACGAACATGCTGACATATGGGAAATCATGAGCTTCTTATTATTGGATCAGCTGATAGACCAGGCTTTAATTCTTTAATCTGTTCTTCACAGTTTGCCCTTCATAAGTGTCATTACTGGGCAAGATGGAGCAATGAAGGAATCTCTAAAGAATGCTATCCAGACTCAGGTGCTAATAAGCTTTGGGTCTATAGTGGCTTAGATATGAAATTTATTGCCACTTCCAGACTTGAATTAAATTAATTCCAGGGACTAGACGTCTCTAGAGAGGAGGACAATAAACATGAGCTTCTAAACAATAGATCTTAAGCACACCAAAGGACATCAACTGAGCCACATGTAAGCTGTGTGAGAATTCTGTAGACTTACTCAGTGCCCCATCAAGTAAGCACTATACCTAACTTATACCACAGCACTGAATTCTTGAATCTGTTTGGTCAGAATGTGTGGATTAATTTTCTGTAACAGTAACTCTGACAGTAGTGACAGCTGTAATTTAAATCATAGGTTTATAATATTGCACTTCTTCTTATAAGCTATCATTTCTATAGTAACAGCTATTTCATAGAGACTTGTATGGCATGACAATGACAGAGTTTTTGTGATTTTGCCTTTATACACCACCACAGTGGATCTGAAATAAAACAATCAAGATGTGATCGAAGTGTAGACTTTCAGCGTTATTTTAAGAGGTTCCACAAAAATATGGCATTGACCATTTAGGAATTACAGCCATTTTCAGCAAAGTACCTCCATTTTCAGGGGCTCAAAGGTATTTGGACAAAGTGACATAATATGGACAAAT